CTTTGTGGAAAAGGAAGTGTTGGTGTGTATGTTCTACTCTCTTGTCCACGGTTAGTTGTTGTTTGCATTTTAGGAGACTCCTCAGTTTCTGCATAATCCTTGTTGTGTTCTTTCTGTATAGCAGCTTCCTCATTTCTCTGTTGTGTATCAATAGCTTCTTGAGAGTACCTATCACCGTGTTCTACAATTTTTTCTCCCTTGCTGGGTATTTCTTTCCCACTTCTCAACTCTATTGCTTGACATTGCTTTTTGCCTTCTCTTTTTGGTGTTTCGGTGTCTGCTGGCAACTTCCCAAGAGGCTTATTATGTAACTCAGTTGCTAATGACCTACTTGAACTTCCAAATTTTGCAATGAGGCTTGCTGACTTTGTATTACGACATCATTTTTGGGCATATATTCCTTTGTTAGGCTCTCAAGAGATGTCCCCGGTGCGTATTGAGCTTGGCTAGTTCCTTTCTCTTGACACTTGTTGAGAACCATATGCCAATTGATTTTGCAATCCAAAACCTGGAGGATAGATTGCTTTAGGTGGCATTTGTTAGTTGTATGAACCTTGTCCCTTCCATGAGAAGTTTGGATGATTTCTCCACCCTAGATTATAAGTGTTTGATAAAGGATTATTTTTCGGGTTGCCTTGACTAGCTTCATTCCCCACATAAAAAATTGTGGCCGGATTACTTGGATATTGATCAAAAGTGTGTTTCTCCATAATATACACAAGATTTGACATATATCTGGTTCATTACAGCAGCTGTATGGACGGGTGCTTTGTTCATGCAGTCTTGTCCCAACGCTAGATTTTGTAACATATTAGTTTCCGGAGCTAATTGAGAATCGATAGAGGACAAAGATCATCTTCAAGTATCCTCGGGTCTTCTTTCCTGGATTGCTTCTCACATCGGCCCATTGACAATTGTTAGATGCTATTCTTTCTAGGATCTCATATGCTTCATTGTATGTCTTTGACAAAATAGCTCCATTGGCGGGAGCATCCACTACTTGTTTAGTAGCAATATTCAATCCATTGTAAAAAGTCTCCATATGTGTACAATTAGATAGTCCATGGTGAGGACACTTTCTAAGCATCTCCTTAAATTTTTTCCAAACTTCACTTAATGTCTCATCTTCAAACTTTTGAAAAGCAACAATCTCATTCCTGAACCGTCGTTTCTAGTGGGTGGAAAATACATTATCAAAAAAATTTCTGCTAGACTATTCCAAGAACCAATTGTTCTCGGTGCTAAGATATTCAACCATGATTTAGCATCATCCCTCAAAGAATAAGGAAATAAGCTTAATTGAATCACATCTCTATCCTCTCCTTGGAATCGAAATGAGTCACTAACTCCCAAAAATGACTTTAGATGTGGGTAGGGATCTTCCGACGGTAGTCCATGAAATTGCCCAATAGTTTGCAACATTTGAAACATCACGTGCTTTAGCTCAAAAGTGATTGCTTGCATTTCGAGTCTAATAATGCATGGATTTCCACAGTTGGGTGTGCATATGCTCGGATTGCTCTTTCTTTGTCATTTGCTAAATGAATGACATTAGTAGTAATTCTCTCTTGATTAGCCATCATCGCTCGATTTTCAAACTCCCGATCCAGTTGGGCTCCAAGTTCTATTTGTTGTATGTTTTGTTCTATCATTTTCTTTTTCTCCCTCAACCTTCATCCAAAGGTTCTCTCTATTTCGAGATCCAAAATAAATTTCAATCCCGTAGGTGAATTCATGCACTGAATTTTGCAATAGTAAGTTCAGCAACGGAAAATTCTGTAGCAGTAAATAGAATTCTTACACAATGAATTCAACAATAGAAAATTCAGCTTACTTGGCTCTTTTTGGTTCCAACTCACGAAAATCTATAACAAGTAAAAAAAAACTAATTTAGGTTGTCCGACAACGGCGCTGAAAACTTGATCGTTTGTGGATGTATATAATAAAATGATATAAAATTCACAAGAATAAGTGTAAGCATACACTATGAGAGTAATAAATTATCGATTTCACAGAGAACCTTTTTTTTTTTATGTTAATTTTATCGCTAGAAATTAAATGAATTTTTGGGTAACATTCAAATGGGTGTTAGTGATTTTGACTAATTAAACAAAATTAAAGCATAGTGTCACTACTTTTGAAAAACTAAAAATGATGAGAAAATCAACTATAATAAGGAAGGTTATGCTAAAAGAGATTAAATAGATAAGTTGTTGAGTTTTGGGTAGAATTTAGTTCCTTTTAGTAGATTCCCAAGCACACTTCCAAGAGTCATGTCGGGTGATTATTTCCACAATCGTTTTTTAATTTCTATTAACAAGACTCTAGGATAAGAATTATTTCTAACCCTTTTATTGCCTTCAGGTCTCCTTGCAATGGAACTAAGTATTAAAAAGAATTTTATTCCTCCCTCTCTTCTCGCAAATAAGAGTACAACTATGTATGTGAAGTAGTTAATTAAACACACATGTAAATCATTAACAACAATTGTTTAATAAACTAAAATCATATCGAGAACATGTCATTCCCCAATTGTTTCTAGATTTGCCACTGTTCAGCATAAATGTATGAAATTTTACCACATAACTCAATTAAATGTACAATTAAGATCGATTTATGCAAAATCATATTTTTTTTGTTGGACTGCAATAACCCATTTCATGCTTGCTAATTAGAATAAATAGGGTAATTAATGAGAAAATGGTGAGTAAGAGTGCAATATTAACTAAAAAAAAACTTGATATAACTCTACTTTTAGAGAGTTATCATTTACTTATATGAGGAGGACGGGAATTTGTGATTTACGCTCTAGGTATTTGATGGATATTATTGCCTCGTTGAGCATGTATGATTACTTGAATTTCTTGGTGCAAATTAACTCTCGATATGTGAATGTGTGTATTTCCCCTGTAGAGCCTAAAAGTAGATAAGAATTAAGCCCACCGTGCTAGAGTCAGTTAAGTAGGCAACGCCATAAGGAAAGATGCCTCCAGTAGATCGAGCGCTACAGGATCGTGAGCAACGATCAACGGACCAGACCCTAGTGCTCTTAAAGCAAAAGGAAAAAAGGGCTCAAGAAGTGCAGCCAGAGGAACTTTGGAGATGAGAGTCCATGCCTAGGCTATCAAGACACCCAAGGGACCTAGAGAACCACTACCATATTTTTTTGAAAGACTAGGTAGCATCCAACCTCAGTTGTTACTAAGGTGCCCATAGAGATTTCTTCGCCCTTTTCCACTTTGGTGCCAGTATCATCGAACTAGGCCCTGGCCAGGGATGTGTGACTTATAGACCAGTGGACTACCTCAGCAGATCCGTCTTGAGAGGGAGTTGCTTTCCCCATTCTCGGGTGACTAGGTGGTCCTGTGGGATAGGGTAAGCTAGCTAACCTCCCATGGAAGAATAGAGCAGGCTAGCATATACCACGACGTTCCGCCAGAGAAAGAATTATTTTTCATTCTCGAGATAGCGCCTCGACTAGGACACCGACACTCACAACATTGGCTAAAACCGTTACCCATGTCTAGAAGAAGCAAGGATTATCTCTAGAGTTGTAAGAACAAGTCTGTAATGACCCACTGGAAAAGTTTGTTATAAAAACCTACTAAGTAGGTTGCTTGGGTACGTTACAAAAGTTTGGTGAGGGGTGTGCAGGTGCTTTACAGCCATAAAGGATGTTGGGCATTCTAGGGGTTGTCATTTTTCTTTCTCCTCTTCATCATGGGTCATGATCCCTCTTCCCCTAGTTGTATTCGGTCACATACAATGCATACATGAGAAACTTTTACTATGAATTTTAAACGGCACGAAATTTCAGCAATTTTTCTGTTGATTTCTATTTCTACTTATTTTGCGTTGCATGGTCAATTTTCGACCCTCGATTATCTAGTTGTAACAATTTTTATTTTTCTCTTGGTCTTGTCTTTCATACCCAGTCTCCCAAATTTGCATTTTGAACTGAAAATTTTATTTTATATAATGTGAGTATATAATATGTGTAAATTTTATAACAACTTTGCATTAGTTCACGTCTCAATCTATAATTTGAATAACGACGAAATCAGATCATGACACAAGGGTAGCCTAACCAATAAAGTCAATAAAATTATATTCAAGTATTTCATTTCCTTGGTCCCTTTCGTGCTATTTCGGGTCGTCCTTCAATATTGTTTTTAGCCTACAAAAACAAAAATACTTTATGTAGGTAGCCTTAATGGGAACTAGTAGTTTGAAAGAAACTATTGTAATCTTCATTTGCTTCATTTAAATAGGAGGAAGAGCGGTTGCTACATGCATGTGTTACATTAGTTTCATTCACAATAGAAGTGAGAGTATGTTGATGAACTTCTAAATTCTTTATTATCCGAGTGGTCAAGTGTTCTATAAATAAAAATGCAAGGAAAGATGGCTAAACCGAAGTTACGTTGATCCAAGAGCAGCAAAGCAAACAAAAGGGTGAAAGTTTCAACCAATTAAATTATAAGCGTTTGCCGATCTCTACAAGCAATTCGCTCCCTTAGAGAGCTTTCCACGCCCACACGTCCTAAAAACTAAATTTGCAACTGAATTATAAATAGATAAATAAAAGAAAAAGAAAGAAGGGTGCAACAACTTTCACTAAAATTAGCATTGTGATCTGAATCGCTATTTTTTAACCGAGAAGGATAAAAAATAGGAATACCATAAAAACCTATTGTATAAATACTTCAAAAATTATACGCACAGAAATCGTATCTTCTCTACATCCCACTGTTATTCCTGGCAGAGAAGGGTTGTTTTGTGTTCAATACTCCTTTTGTTGGCCCTCGGTAATTTTTGTGGGTAATTTTTCTAGCCATTTTCTCTTAGGTTATTTATAAGATTGATTAGTAGTGTTGTTCAAGGTAATTTTCCCTTTAAGAATTTTGTATTCATTTAAGTGGCTTCACTAGCTATTAAGAAGACATTATAATTAAAGTTTTGTTTCACCTGTTAATTCTATTTTAGAGTTGGGGTTCAGCCAAGGATCCATCCAAGATGACCAAGGTTCTCGTTGTTTTAATGGGATTTTTTCTCATGTTTTTGTCGGAGACATTGGGAACAGGAGAACACCCCAAATACAAAGATCCAACAAAACCATTAAATGTCCGAATCAAGGATCTACTTGGTCGGATGACTTTGGAGGAAAAAATAGGTCAAATGGTGCAAATTGAAAGGGTTAATGCTTCGGCTGATGTCATGAAAAACTATTTCATTGGTAAATATCTTACTCCTAATCTAATGCTCTCCTCACTCTCTTAAAATACAAATACTGAATAATATAATATTAAATGTAGGGAGTGTATTGAGTGGTGGAGGTAGTGGCCCATCAAAGAATGCCTCAGCTAAGGATTGGGTGGACATGGTGAATGAAATCCAAAAAGGAGCTTTGTCGACTAGGCTAGGAATTCCAATGATATATGGAATTGATGCTGTTCATGGCCACAACAATGTCTATAATGCAACCATCTTCCCTCACAACGTTGGGCTTGGAGCTACTAGGTTACATAAATACTCCCTCTCTATTTTTTATTTTTTATTTATATTCAACACTAATCATATAGCTTATTCATTCATGTAAAAATGATTTTCCTTTGATTAAACAAACAGAGACCCTCAACTCGTGAAGAATATTGGGAGTGCTACTGCCCTTGAAATTAGAGCAACTGGCATTCCGTATGCTTTTGCGCCTTGTGTAGCGGTAATTATCTTTGTTATTCAAATGGATAAAGATCATCTTAACATTTCTGTTACTATTTTTGTTTATCATGTCATGTGATTTATTTTGGAGGTTTTTCCATTTTAATTAGGTTTGTAAAGATCCGCGATGGGGTCGATGTTATGAAAGCTACAGCGAGGACCCCAAGATTGTTCAAGAAATGACTGAGATCATACTAGGTTTACAAGGAGAGATTCCACCTGATTCTCCCAAGGGTGTTCCTTATGTCGGTGGGAAGTGAGTCTTCAAATATTAATCAATTTCGTCTTCAAATATTAACCAGTATAGGTGTTGAAAATAACCACTATTTTCATTTATTTATGCATAGAGATAAAGTGGCAGGGTGTGCAAAACATTTCGTTGGTGATGGTGGAACAACTAAGGGTATCAACGAGAACGACACAGTGATAGACAGACACAGCTTACTTAGCATTCACATGCGAGGTTACTATCCCTCGATCATTAAGGGAATTGCAACCGTTATGGCTTCTTATTCAAGCTGGAATGGAGAGAAAATGCATGCCCACAAAGAACTCCTTACTGACTTTCTCAAGAACACTCTTAATTTTAGGGTAATATGGCTTCTTGATTCTACTTTGTGATTGTCACTTTGTTGCAAACATTTGATGATTTGATAAAAAGTGAGCTTAATATTGCTTCGGTCTTTATAGGGCTTTGTCATCTCAGATTGGCAGGGTATTGATAGGATTACATCTCCACCACATGCTAATTATACATATTCCATCATAGCAAGCGTTACGGCTGGTGTTGACATGGTTAGTATTATGCTCAACACTTTAAAATGTATTTCAACAATTAATTATATGCTCATTTACAGACCTTTCAATACAGATAATGCTACCGTACAACTACATAGAGTTCATCGAAGACCTTACCTACTTGGTAAAAACTAATATAATTCCTATGAGTCGAATTGACGATGCAGTGAAGAGAATTTTGAGAGTCAAATTTGTTATGGGTTTATTTGAGAACCCATTAGCTGACTACAGCTTGGTTAATGAGATTGGTAAAAAGGTAAGTATATGGAATATCTTTAATATTATAAAATAAAATATAGAAATTATGTTTTTAACTTATGTTTTTCTCACAATAGGAACATAGAGAACTAGCTAGAGAAGCCGTAAGAAAATCACTAGTGTTATTAAAGAATGGAAAATCGACTTCAACACCATTGCTTCCTCTTCCAAAGAATGCGCAAAAAATACTTGTTGCTGGCAGCCATGCAAACAACCTCGGGTATCAATGTGGTGGTTGGACTATCGAATGGCAAGGAGCTAGTGGCAACAACCTTACAAGTGGTATGAAAATGTTACAATGTAAATTGTAAAGTTTTTCCTTATAAATTATTGGGACATTGTGATCTAACCTATGATATTTATATCATCTCCTTTTGTTAGGTACAACTGTACTTGATGCTATAAAAGAAACGGTTGATCCAAAAACAGAAGTTACCTTTGAGGAAGAACCAAATAAGGCGAGTCTCCAATCACATGAGTTTTCTTATGGCATTGTTGTAGTGGGAGAATATCCATATGCAGAAACTAATGGTGATAGCTTGAATTTGACAATTCCCGACCCTGGTCCAAGCACCATCACGGATGTTTGTGGCGCTATGAAATGTGTAGTTATAATATTCTCAGGACGGCCTGTAGTAATCGAACCTTATATTTCTTCAATGGATGCACTTGTTGCTGCTTGGCTTCCAGGAACAGAAGGAAAAGGCATTACTGATGTATTGTTTGGTGATTACGATTTTATTGGGAAACTTCCCCAAACTTGGTTCAAGACTGTTGATCAATTGCCAATGAACTTTGGAGATCCTAACTATGATCCTCTTTTCTCCTTGGGATATGGTCTTACTACAGAGCCCATCAAAGCTAAATGAGTGACTGCCTCAACTATTTTACATGTACACGGCCTCCAATATTGTATACTATATACCCCTACCCAATAATATATATTGTAAGCCGTTGTTATCTCTCTCTTACTTTCTTATATAATGTCTCCTTCAAAAATCTCTTTATCTAAAATCTCTCTCTACCTTCGTTTTCTAAAATCTTCTTTTAAAAATCGAGACTAGAGGCTCCATACGTCGCTTGGCCGTAGGCAACGCAAGAACAAATTGACCAAGTGTGATTGTGTCAAGTGGTACATGCCTCCAATCCTGTATACTCATATAAGTACACATATACTCATAAGTAAACGGCCTCCAATACGGTATACTCATAAGTAGACGGCAAAAAAAACTTCAAAAAAAACTTCCATAAAATTTCATGTGATTTAAACCATTCTGTCGGTTGGTTATAAAAGTTTTTTTGGTTAAGAAATAGCATACTTATTTTATTTTTGTTCTTATTTCTCCATGAAAAGAGTCTGGAGATATTAGAAGTAGTGGAACTAGTTTTTAGGGGTGAAACAGTGGAAGGAGTGGGAGTGGTGGAGTGCTTGCTTATTTGTAGCTGAAATGTGTAAAAAGGAGTGGAGTGGAAGTGGTGGAGTGCTTGCTTATTTGTAGCTTAAATGTGTAAAAAGGAGTGGAGTGGGAGTGGTGGATTGCTTGCTTATTTGTAGGTGAAATGTGTAAATTTTTATTATACAAGGAAACTGGTGTCTCAACACACCACAAAAAGAAAAAAAATAAATTTGCGTCTTATAATTGTTATTTTCTTATTTTCTTACATAGAGAACCTATTTTCTTATTTTCTTATAAATTTTCTTATTTGTTATTTTATTATATAAATTTTTATTATACAAGATCAAGGCCTGTTTCCAATCATGTCTCACCTAGAGATCAAAAAATGAGACTTGGGGCGATTAAGATGGAGGTATTTATGATGGCATAAAGTGTTTGAGAGGCAATTGAGTCACTCGAAACAGTAGATAACCGCAAAGATAAGATAGCTTTAGCAGCTATTTATCAAAGTATTGGAGAAGATGCGTTGCTACAGTTGGGTGCAAAGAAAACGACCAAGGAAGCCTGGATCATGTTGAAAAATATGAATCTAGGTGCAGAAAGAGTGAAAGAAGTTAGAACGCGACTCTCTGGTGGGAGTTTGAAGCGTTGAGGATGCGTGATTCAGAGAGTATTGATGAGTATTCTGGAAAACTCACCATTATTGTCAACAAATTGAGAGGCCCGGCAATATTGTGGATGACATCCAAGTAGTTAAGAAGCTTCTACGATCCACCTCTGCAAAGTTTCTTCAAATCACTTCAACAATTGAGGAGTTCAGTGATCTCAAAATGAAAATCTGTTGATGAGATTATTGGATCACTCAAGGCACATGAAGAAGGGTTGCAAGGGTTTGAAGAAAAAGATGAAACCGTTCTCTCACTCGTGCAAAATGGATGGGATGAGAGAATGCAAAATCCTCAAAGGAAGAAGGGAAGGATCAAGGTAGTTCTAGAGGAGACAGGGGACGGGGACGTGGAAGATGGAGAGGTCGTGGGAGAATAATGGTTGTTTCTGCATATCCCCATCTTTCTTCTGAGCTTCTCGAACAATGGTTGTTTCAAGGGCTTTGTGAATAGGTCTGCGATTTGTTCATCACTTCGGCAAAAGTTGAGTTCAATAATGTCTTCTTTACACAAATCACGCAAGAAATGAAATCGAACATCGATGTGCTTGCTCCTTCCATGCAACACAGGATTTTTAGACAACTTAATAGTTGACATATTATCACAATATATAACCGTCGTACTTGGTTGCTTCTGATTAAGAATTTCAAGCATTTTTCTTAACCAAATTGCTTGGCACGAGCATGCTGCTGCTGCCACAAATTCTGCTTCTGTCGTTGAGAGTGTTACAATAGGTTGCTTCTTTGAAGACCAGCAAATAGCTCCTGAACTCATCAAGAAAATACTTCCTGAAGTACTTTTACGATCGTCTATATCACCTGCATAGTCGCTATCTGTATAGCCAACTATCTTCGGACTGGAATCGAGGAGATGAAGGAGAGTCACAAACTCAGAAGAAGAAGTTCGACAAAAGTAAAATCAAATGTTACAAGTGTCAGCAGATGGGACACTTCGCATCAGAGTGTTCTACAAAAAACGAACAACTCAACTTGATAGAGATGCAAAAGGTTGAGGAGTCTTCATTGCTGATGATAGAAGCGTGTGAAGTTAAAACCACATGTGACAAAGAGCCTAATTTTGTGATGCCGAATGAAACTATAGTGCCGCCACCAGCCAATATTGGAGATGAAAATTCTTGGTGCTTAGATACTGGAGCAAGCAACCACATGTTAGGAGAAAGGAGGGTGTTTCGTGAGCTCGACACATCTGTTGTTGGAAAGGTACGTTTCGGTGATAATTCTGTAATAGACATTTGTGGTCGAGGAATAGTGCTCTTCAAATGCAAAATTGATGAGCACTTGATCTTATCGCAAGTCTATTATATACCCAAACTCAAAAGCAATATAATAAGTTTGGGACAACTGGACGAGAGCGGAAATAAAATTGTCATTGAAGACAGTGTGATGAAGATATATGACAAATCAAGGTGCTTGATTATTATGGTGACCAGACAATTCAACAGATTGTATGTAGCAAAGCTGAAGCTTGCGGATCAGGTGTGTTTAATGGCAAATATCAGTAACGATGGTTGGCTCTGGCATGCGAGGTATGGACACCTGAATTTTCACTCTTTAAAGCAATTAAATGTCAAAAGAATGGTTGAAGGATAGCCGAAAATCACCCAGATCAATCAATTTTGTGATGGGTGTTTAATTGGAAAGCAGCATAGGACTCCTTTTCCGTGAACAACGACATATCGTGCAAAGGAGTCATTGGATCTCGTCCATGGAGATCTATGTGGACCTATTTCGCCAATAACTTATGGAGGTAACAGATATTTTATGTTACTGGTGGATGATTTTTCACGATTTATGTGGGTGTTTTTGTTGACAAACAAAAATGAAACACTGGTGGTATTTAAAAAGTTCAAGATCAGTGTGGAGGTAGAGAAAGGCAAGAAGATTAAGAGCTTTAGAACGGACCGTGGAGGAGAGTTCGCATCTACTGCTTTTAAAGACTATTGCGAGAATGAAGGCATGAAGAGACTTCATACTGCACCATTTTCACCACAGTAAAATGGCGTAGTAGAAAGGCGTAATCGAACGGTGGTAGAGATGGCCAGATGTATGTTAAAGAGAAAAGAGATGCCTGCAAAATTTTAGGGGGAAGCTATCAAAACTACCGTATATATTCTGAACAGATCACCAACAAAAGTAGTTGCAGATGGTTTACACCGTATCAAGCTTGGTTTGACAAGATACCAAGGGTTCATCACTTTAAAATCTTCGGGTGTCTTGCTCATGCCAAGAATACATATTCACACCTTCCTAAACTTGCTGATAGGAGTGTGAAGACAATTATGTTGGGATATGAAGAGGGAACCAAAGCTTACAGACTATTGGATCCACAAAAGAACAGAATTATGGTGAGTAGGGATGTATTGTTCGAAGAGGAGAAAAAGTGGTGTTGGGAAGAAATCACAAACGGTGATGATGAACAAAGAGGAACTTTCACCGTTCAAATTTCAGAAAAACAGAGTAGAACAGAGGAGAGGAATATTGAACAAATCGAAGTTGATCCAAATGAAAGACAAAGGGAAAATTCGTCCTCAACTTTATCAACGCCAGACAGTACCTCAAATGCATCATCGTCAAGCTCATTGATGCCGAAAAAGTTCAGGTCTCTAGAAGATATTTATAGAGAACTAAACAAAGTAGAGGAGGAAGCAGTAGACCTTTGTTTTCTTTCTATAGAGGAGCCAACTTCATATGAGGAAGCCGCTAAGAATGAAAACTGGAGGAATGCCATGAAGTTTGAAATTCTCTCCATTGAAAAGAACAGAATGTGGGAACTCACAGATTTGTTGAAGAATCATAAAGCAATCGACATCAAATAGATTTTCAAATTAAAGAAAAATCAAAATGGAGAAATCATGAAACATAAGGCAAGACTCGTGGCAAAGGGATATGCAGAGCAGTTTGGTGTAGATTACAATGAAGTATTCGCACCAGTGGCCGGGTTAGAAACAGTGAGATTAATTCTTGCCTATGTAGCCATTAAGAGCTGGGAAGTACATCACATGGATGTGAAGGCAACTTTTCTGAATGGCGAGTTAGAAGAGGAGGTGTATGTTGTTCAACCAGAAGGGTTCGTTGACAAGGAAAATCTAAACATGGTGTTAAAACTACGTAAAGCCTTGTATGGATTAAAACAGGCTCCGAGGGCCTGGAATTTTTAACTTGATCAATGTTTGCAGTCACTTGGTTTTGTTAGATGTCCACAGGAATATGCTCTCTACAAGAAAGTTAATGGAGTTGAAGCAATGATAATCGGCACATATGTGGATGACTTAATCATAGCCAGCTCAAACAAACAAGTTATAGCTCAGTTCAAGGAAGAGATGCACCAAAAATTTGAGATGAGCGATATTGGACTTTTGAGCTTTTACTTGGGTATTGAGGCAAAGCAGTGAATCAATCACTTTATGTCAGATTGAATATGCAAGAAAAATCCTAGAGAAGCTAGGAATGGGGGAGTGCAATCCTTGTTTGATTCCCATGGAACCAAGATTGAAGATGTGCAAACATGGGAATGGAGAACCTGCGGTTGACAAAACACTTTACAGAAGTGTTATTGGAAGCTTACGCTATCTGGTTAATACCCGGCCCGACATAGCCTACTTAGTTGGTGTGATGAGTAGATACATGGAGGCACCAACAACTTCACATCTCACAATAGTAAAATAAATATTGAGGTATGTGAAAGGTACTCTAAGTTTTGGCTGTGTTTATAAGAAGCTATCGAATGTAGAGCTGGTAGGATTTAGCAACAATGATATGGTTGGGGATATTGATGATAGGAAGAGTACAACTGGAGTGTTGTACTACTTGAAAGTAAATCCAATAACCTGG